CATAAAGATTCTCAACATAGAGCAGGAAAAAAAAGTTAAATAAACCAAAGTGTTACATGATATATCTAAAAATTACAAAGTTCTACAAGTTATAACTGTAAGTGAAAAGGGTTAAGACATAAGTTCTATTTTAAATTTGTTCTCTGGGTGCTATCTTCATGTATGTGCCAATGTATATGTGCATGTGTAGATGTGCAGAAAACAATCTGGAAGTATGTTTAGTAAACTCCTAGCAGAGGCTCCCTTTTGAGGAGATAACAGATTATTAAAACAGTGAATGAATGACAAAAGCTAAAAATAATTTTTAGATATTTTAATTTTTGCCATGTCTAATTCCACATTATTTTAATCTTAATTAATTTTACTATTTTAAGAACCAAGTATAAACATATCCCTCAGGAGAAGGAAAAAACATAAAGAAACACTAAGTCAGTAAGTCTTTTATTGCTGAAGCAGAGCATGATACAACATTTTATTTAACTGATTCGATTAAAACAACTTGAATTATTTTGCATTTAATTCCCACACATATATTTGCCCAAAAAAGAGTTGGCAAATGTCAAATATAAAATTCAAACAAGCGGTGGCATGAGACCAGTGAGACTAGGCTCTGTCTGACAGGTTGCCCCTTCCACTTGGCTTTCTTCAATTGCTTGTTCTAGTAGAAGCTTGTCCCTATGCCATAAAAACATGCAGATATATGTGTGTAGTAACCCTTTGTCAGTAAACAGAAACTTACCAGCTCTGTGAACAGTCACCGTTGAAGTGGGTCTTTTAGCTCTAGTCACACATCACTAACTCCAGCCAAAGTCTCTGCATCATCATTAGAGACTCTAACACAAAAGTACTCCCAGCAAAGCCACTCTCAAATTACTGACCCACAGAAACTGAAATATAGTCAATGTTTAATTTTATTACTAGGCCACTCTGTTCTGGAGCGATGCATCATGCAGGAGTGGATAGCTGGGACATTTACTTTCTCCGTTTATGCATCTCTTCACACAAGTTAATTTCCTTTCTAACAGTACAATACAACTTGCCTGTAACTCCACTTCCTCCTCTTTGTTGTATTTCTTAGAATAATAATTTCTTTTCTTTTTAAAAAAGATTTCTTTGGGGGCTAGAGAGATGACTCAGCAGTTAAAAGCACTGGCTGTTCTTGCAGAGGACCTAGGTTCGATTCCCAGCACCCACATGGCAGCTAACAACGGTCCAGTTCCAGGGGAATCCATGTCTCCAACTTCCCAAGTGCTAGGATTACAAGCAAGTGTCATCATGCCTGGCTTTTTACTTGTTCTGGGCATCCAAGTCATATTCTCCCGCTTGGATAGCAAACACCAAGTTATCTCCCTGATCATAAAATCCCTAATATTTTGTTATTTATTTTATTTACTTATCTTTTTCCTCACTAGAATGTAAGTTCTATGAGGGCACTATGCATAGTTTGTAAAAGAGACAGTTTGCATTTTTTAATATAAATTATTAGTCTATCTAGATGAGTAGTATGTAAAGGTGTGGAGCACAGTCCTAAAAATAAAGATGTTCCCCAAAGCAGAGGTTTGCACAATATTCAGAAGCAGATCATAAAGTCAATGTCCCTAAAAAACTTGAAAAGAACTATGCTGCTCTGGAAAATCAGCCTGACTCCAATCCATCTCACTGGGCTTCTCTCCAAGTTGTGGGTTTTATATTAAGCAATGTTAATGAAGATCAGAGTTCTTGAAGCAGACATTTTGGCTCTGCCTCCCTTAAAGGACTTTCAAAGGTGACCATTTGTTCCTTTCTGTAGTCCTAATGTGCAGACATTTAATGCCTGTATAAATCTGACTATTATTTCTCCACTACAGCTAAAGAATTCAAAGCTGAGGAAATCAGTAATGTTTGTTGGCTGAGATCAAGTAAATGCAGTCATACATAAATCTACCTGAATTACAAGAGCAATGCTTAAGAACTCAAGAATTAGGGGCTTATAAAATCTAAGTTGAAGAAGACCTTAAAAGTCATCTATGTGAAATTCTTCCCCAAATAACGCACATAAAAAATGAACCTTCCTCTTGGATGGCCATGCCCTCTTTTTCTAAAGAGCACAAACCATCTCATTAATACATGCCATGCTGACAGTACTCTAGCTATAACTCATATATTTATCTAGAAACTCAATCTGTTGTCTGCACATGCTAGATTAAGTACTACAAATGCTTTATCTCTGAACTGGACCTGGGACAGGTTTTCAACCAACAGCAGTTATATGAACAACCAATCCCCTCAAGAGTTGTCCCAAACTTTATCTGGTAGGGGAGCTTAGAATTTCATCATGGAAAATTCATTTCAAATGCTAAATATATGCCGAAGACAGCTCAGTAGAGCCCAGGTGTGTTCTGAACAACTCCCAGCTGCATTTAAATACTTCAGAACACGCAGTCAAGGCAGCACCTAGTCAAAAATGAGAGAAAGGCAAGGCAGCTGTAATGGTTCCCCACTACTTGGTTCCTAAACAGCCTCATACAAAGCAGCGATGGAAAAAGCTCAGCTGTGTGTCCCTTCCTTGTAAAAAGAGCCTACCAGTGTCATGCTGAACTGCCTCTGTCTTCTCTTCAGTCATCCAAGTTCTGCCTTCCAGAATTCTATTATATTGCATGGCAGTATTTTGTGTTTTCATTCAGCTGAGTGCTCTCTCTCCCCCATGAATGGTATGATCCTCAGTTCTATCAAAGGTCCTTGTGCCAGATAGTTATTTTCTATGAGCTAGATACCTCATAGTAGCCTGTATCTATTGGAAAGGATTCAGATCTGGACTTCTAACAGATGTGGTTGCCTGGCTCTATGATTATCTTCTGCTCATAAGTTTCATAACCACATTTTAGTAGCCATGTTACATTATGAGCTTATACTAATCTTCTAGTCAATTAAAGCACTTATGTAGTTTTCAGTGTAAATCACTATCAGGTCCATGTTTAAGTAACAGAATTTTTAAATCTAAATGCTGATCTGTGCATTATTGTATCACATTTGTCTACCGGACTTCAACTCTTTCCCACCTTGTTTCTGTTATAATTTAAATATTTCTCCTAGGTCAGGGTCAATTATGAATTGAAGAAATATGAGTGTTTGCCTTTTTATCCAAGCTACTCATAAAAATAATGACCAGAGTATGAATAGGGAAATAAATCAATGACGTGGATACATACACACATATGTACATTATGCCTGCTTCCTGGTGATATATATATATATAGAGAGAGAGATAGATAGATAGATAGATAGATAGATAGATAGATAGATAGATAGATAGATAGATATATGACTATCACTATGAAAGACGAAGGAAAATACTCTAGTATGGAAAACATCAATCATTTGAAAAAAGTTCTTTAGGCAGGTGAAACTCAGTTCATTAAAATTTCCTCAGAAAGGGGCTGAAGAGATGGCTCAGCAGTTAAGAACACTGGATGCTCTTCCAGAGGACCTGGATTTGATTCCCAGCACCCACACGGCAGCTAATAGCCATCCGTAACTCCAGTTTCAGGGGATCCAGCAGGCATTGCACAACATGGGTGCACTTAGATATATGCAGGCAATACACTTATACACATGAAATAAAAATAATAAAATATTTTTTAAAGACTAGCTAATGCTTTTAACCACTGAACCATCTCTCCAGTCTCTCAGAAGATAAAGACAAATCTACATTTTCCAATGGTTTAAATCATTTCTTACCAAAACTCACTAGGAGAGAAGTAATTTGAAAAGACTAACTATACAAATTGATTTAGGTATGTCCCCATAAGAATGTTACTGATGTAAAGGAAACCTGTTAGTATTTACTAGGGAATGGATAGCCTGACATGGTCCCAGTCTATGTACAGTTTACTTTCTAAAGATGATCTTCATTCAGTGTAATCAGAAATCAAAAATAAAGTTTTTGAGAAATACACTGGTGTTTGGTGAGGGGACAGAATTAAAGACATCTATATTTTAATATCACAGTCTGTATGAGCGACTGTAAAGCCCTAGGATAGCAGATTATTCATGGCAACAAAAGGTTGGGGATTTGTTATCAAGAGTTGATGTGATTTAGGGGAAGGAACATCAGATTTGGAGTGATAAAGAATTAGAGCCAGAGATTTGAGTTTTTGTGAGGATCTCTCATATGGTGATGATTGAAACAAAACAAAACCTTACAAGATCACAGTAGAAATGAGGGGAAATAATGTGGGTTAAAAACTGTATAGACAGTGTGCAACCATTGCTTCTATCAGTAGATATTAAACCCCTTAACATGAGAAATAATCTTTCTTCTAGTATTTGTACTCATACAATCTTAGACTCACAGATTTTGCTAATATGTTGAGCAAATTAATGACTACCCAGAAATCACAGTTAAAAAATAAAAAAAGAAAACTGACCATTCTAACTGCATGAATACTTGGGCAAGACAGATTTTACACTATGTAAACATGAGCTTAAAATATTGCTAAAATAAATAAAATATAAATGAATCAGATATTTTAAGCATATATATGTACATCACGCATCAATATGTAGTGCACTTCATGATGGAGACACTGTACTATAGTCTGAGAACTGTCATTAGGCATGAAGTATACTTACAAATCTAAGACAGCTATGTAACCATTGAGTAAAATCATATAGGACCATTTTCATATAAGCAGCTCATCATGCCTAGAAGATAATTATGTATGACAAGACTTTGTAGCTTAATAGTTCAAATGTGTCCTGTGTCAACAGAAAATACAGCAAGCTGTGATCTTCATGGAGTCAATCACAGCTGAAGCACTACAGTGAGCAAGCAATCCCTACTCAGGGTGATAATCATACTTATCTGGAACATGTTAACTTTTCCCAAGCACAGTTTAAATTTTATTTACAATGTAAAAATCTTACTATCAAAGCCAGTTCCCTCATCTTGACAATTTGGGTGATTATATCAATTTTATAAATAAAAACTCCAAGAAGCCAATCAAAGGAAAGCAGGTTACCTGGGTTTGAAGAGGGAATAACATAGGTGCTTGGTTTTAACTCTTTTGGCTTGAATGAATATTCTCATCCGAGGGTCAAAATACAGAACAGCTGTGTAGGCTCTGAGTGACCATCTCTCTGGAAACCTGAAAGAGTAAATATCAAAGGCCACAGTGTAGAGGGTACAGCAATCTTTGAGAAGGAAAAAAAATCAAGCATGTTACTTCTAAGCTCTCAGAAACACTCTCCTAAAACCAATGGTGCCACAAACACCAGCAAAATATGGCAACATCCACTGCACTAAGCAGGCCTTTAAACACAAAGGCAAACATAAATAACCTGCACTTTGCTTAGAACTGAATTTGTGTTGACTACTAATCCATTCTAAAAAGACATGTCAGTGAAGAAAAAAATACTTTATGTTAAAGCAACTGACCCAGAAGGACAAAATCAAGTAAAAAAAAACAGTGTAATCTTCTTGTTCAAACCTAACTAAAAGATGGTAGGCTCACTAGAGCAAAAGGTATCTCTATTAGGTTGTTATGAACAGAGAGAGGCAATAAAAATGCCTCATTTGCTTTCAGAATTATGAACAGGACATATAAACCTTCACTTCCTAAGTACAAGTATTAAAATAAGTATTTATTGCTAGCTGAGGGGAGAACTCTAACATGTATGTGAAGGAGGAGAAGGAGAAATGGACAATAGGAAAGCAATAAAGCAGAAGCAGAAATAATGTAAACAGTCTGAGGAGAACTACCACAGAAACATGCTGCTGGAAGTCACTGGGACACTGTGTCCTGTGAGCGGATCTTAACTATTGCAGTCTATCTATAAGCAGGAACTCTTTTCCAGTTGGACAAAAAAATCAGAAAAACAAATTTGAGCCATACTTATGATGTGCTCTGTGTTTCCAGACCACAGGAAAGGCCACCAGGAAGGGCTTCAAGGTTAAGCAAGAGAGCAGGAAGCGGTTCTCTCTCAGTCCAGAGGGATACAGAGATGGGGCGAAGGTCTGAGGCCCATCTGAGGGGTCTGCTCAACAGTTACTCAGTAAGGAAGGGCAGAACATCAAGGAATTCTGAAAACTGAAGATGAAGCTCTAAGGAATCTAAAGATTTCCTGGTTAGGTATTTCTTTTGGACACTATCCGAAGCTCAACAAAAGGTTAAGGAATTTCTTTTAATTGTTCAAATTTCTTGACATAAGTTATATGAAAGTACCTACTCCATGGCTATCACTCCATAAATATTAATGCATTTTAAAATTTATTTTTAAGTTAGCACTCAGAGTAATGGGCTTCATTATTATAGCATCTTCATACTTATATGTCATTACTAATGAATTTTTAATGTAACAAAAGAACTGTCTGCATTAGAGTGTTACACTATGATAATACAGTTTCATTTAGTGCCCAAGAGGCTGCACAATTGTCTTTAGAGAGTCTGAAAATTTGAGAAGTTTGATGAGAGCTCAGACTGGCTGTGGTGGTTTGAATAGAGAATGTCCCCCATCGGCTTCAAGAATTTGGACATTTTGTCCCCAGTTGGTGACACTGTTTGGGAAGGTTTTAGGAGGTGCAACCTTGTTGGAGGAAGCATGTTACTCGGGTAAGCTTTGAGAGCTCTTTTTTTTCTTCAGGGGAGGAAGGGGTTTATTCCACAGTCAGGAGCAGAGAGAAGCAAATGCATCCATGCTGCCTGTTTGCTTGTTTGTTCAGCTAGCTCCCTCTCTACTCTCATACAGTTCAGGGCCCAGCCCATGAAAAGGCTTCAGGGTAGATCTTTACATCTCATTAGTAATGAAGATAATACCCTGATGATAGTCAACCTGAGTTCTTAAACCTTGCTGGATTTCCAGTCTTTCCTTGCTTCCTGTGCCTGCTTGAAGTTGTGATAGCTCTGCTTTCTGCTCTGGCCACCTCCTTTGCAGTCATGCTTTTCCCACCTTTATGGACTCTAACCCTCTGGAACCTAAGTTCAAATAAATTTTTCCTTCTTTAAGTTACAGTATTTTTTCACAGCAACAGAAAAGTAACTAATACACTGGCTAAATAAGTTCTGGTATCCGTTTATATTTTTTACATTGTGTACATGTACATGTATATATACACACATATGCACATATATATACATGCGTATGTATATCTACAAACAATAATATATGAATAGTAATGCTTCTATCTTCATTTTAAGGCCTAGGATGACTTTGAACCTGCAATTCTTCTGACTGAGCCTCCCTAGTACAAGGATTACAGATGTGTCAACATGCACAGATAATACCTCAACCTATTGGCACTGCATTTGTTCATTCCATAAATAGTAATAGGTAAATGTTCACAGCATGCATGTCAAGGGTCTACAGGATTTCTCTGATGTAAAAAGACAGAATAGGGAGAGGGCCTGTTCCGACCTGCATCATAGGGGCTGAGATCTCAGACAGCCTAAGAGTGCCTGTTTGACCTTCATCTTAGGGACTGAGATCTCAGAAGACAGCCAGAGAGTGCCTGTTCTGGCTCCCTCTGGGATAGGGGCTCAGAACACAGCAGACTGACTGAGAGTCCCAAAATTGCCCCCTGCCCCTTAGAGAACTTCACAAATTTTCTCTGAGTTCCTGCTAATAGGGGTCCAAACCTCAGAAGGAAGCCTGAGTATACCTGACTGGAACCTGACTTGAGCTTCTGTAGAAGCTGCTAAGTAGCTGATCTGAAGCCATCAGTTCCTCCAAAATAAAACCTGAGAGAACCTGAAACCTGGACCAACCAGCTTTACATAACCAATAAGAAAACGACCAAGGCACACCAATAATACAAACAGAAGCAAACTTCAACTTAATTTTCATACCAGAATCACAAACAACAAAAGAAATTCACTGCCAAAATCACAATGAAAGAATAATAAAATGGAAAGCCAAAACACCATGGCCCCACCAAATTCCACCAATCCTGTAGAAGAGTTCTATAAGGAGAAACCCCTAGAGATAATACAGGACACTGAATTTAAAGGAACAATCATAAACATGATCAAAGAATTCAACGAATTTAAAGAACACACAAATAAATCAAACAACTAAAAGAAGATAGGGATAAACTTCTGAATGAATTCACAAAAGAGAAAAAAACACTGAAGAAAACTGAGGCAGAAATGAAGGAGGAAGTGAAAAACTGAATAAGCCAACTTGAAACAACAGGGAAAGCCTCATCTCTAGAACGAATGAAATGGAAAACAGAATATCATCGCTGGAGGATAAAGTTGAAGAATTGGATCACTCAAGCAAAAATTATGGAAAATTACAAAAAAAAACAGGAATGGAAATGCAAGAGATGTTGGACACCATGAAAAGAGGAAATCTATGGATCATAGAAACAGAAGAAGGAGAAGAATTTCAGGTTAATGGTATTGACCACATCTTAAACAGGACTGTAGAAGAGAATTTCCCAAAATTAAGGAAAGACATCCCCATACAAATACAGGAAGCACATAGAACACCAAATACACAGGATCAGAAAAGAAACTCCCTACAACATATCATAATGAAAACACTAAATGTACAGAACAAAGAGAGAATACTGAAAGCAGAAAAAAAAAACAAAAAAAAACCAAGTCACATACAAAGGAAATCCCATCAGGATTACAGCTGACTTATCAATGCAAACTATGAAAGCCAGAAGAGTCTGGACCAAGTTATTTCCAGGTCTACATGACAAGAGATGCCAGCCCAGTACTTTACTAGCAGAAATGTCTGTTATAGTAGAGGCGGAAAGAAAAGCCTTTCATAAGAAGCCAGAGTACTCTGCGTCCCAATTCCCTATTGGCAATTTGGGTAACTTTGTCAGAGGATGGTGTGATAAAAATAGGAGGTAGGAATTGGCTAGGCAGTTAGGGAAAAAAGACCCCAAAGAAAAGTAGCCAGTTTCTTGGCTAAAACTCACAATGTCCTTGGGCATCTTAGCAACATACTCTATTTCAAGGCCAAAAATGTCTAAAATATTTGGGAGCTTTTATCTAATCCTTAAAAGATTTTAGGGGTACTTCTTCAGAGGGGGGAATGTTAGAGAAGCCAAAAGCCTCATTTAAAAAAATAAATCAAAGAAGGAAGAGTACATGAAGTTATCAGAAAAAAGTGATGGGGAGATATGGGAAGAGTTGGAGGGGAGGGAGTGGGCATGGATTTGATCAAAACACCTTATATGCATGTATGAAATTCTCAATAAATTACTTCTTTAAAAAAAACTTTTAAGTGAGAGGGAAAGATAAAGACATTTTTAGGAATGAAACAGTTTTCAGTGTTTACTTTCAACAAAGTGAAATAATCATTTGATGATGTAACTCAGGAAATGAACTGATAAATTCAAGAAGGAAGAGAATGAGATGGAAGATATGGTAGAATGCAAGGAAAACAACAGATCATATAATTAAGGGTGAATAATTATGCCCAATTTGATAACTATTGTAAAAATGTACAACTAAAATCCTAGATAAAATAATTGAAAAAACTGAGAAGTAAGGTGTAGCCACTATGGAAATCAGTGTGGAGACCTGTCAAAAAATTAGACACAGATCTACCATATGATCCAGCAATCCTACTCCTGGGAATAGCCCCAAAGGACTCTATATCCTTCTACAGAGATACTTATTCATCCATGTTTATTGTCACTATAGTCACAATAGCCAGGAACTGGAAACAACCCAGTTGTCCACCAATGGATGAACGGATAATGAAAACATAGTTTATATATGCAACAGAATATTACTCAGTTGTAAAGAAAGATTAAATCTTGAAACTCCCATGAAAATGGATGGAGTTAAAAATAATCATTCTGAGTGAGGTAACCTAGATTCAGAAAGACTAATGCTGTGTGTCCTCTCTCACATGTGTATGCTAACTTTGAATCTTTATATACATTTGTTTAAATTGGAGTACCCATAGAGGTCAGAAAAATACTAAGGGGCCACAGCATGGAGGGCTTTCAAGGAAAGGGGGATAAAACACAGGTGGTATGAAGAGGGAAAGGGAAATAATGGAACAGGGAGTGATAAATGGGATGGGGGACAGGAGAGTGGGGAAAGTATAAGGAGGGATAACACACTAAAGACCTTTGAAAATGCCATACGGAGCTACTGTAGAAGCTACCTAAAATATATAT